GAGGTGATCTGAATGGAATATGAAGGGAACTGCGGAGGACGAGCTAACTGAATAGAAATGAGTAACGGATATTGATGGAGCAATACAATGCAGGTTGCAGCCCTGAGCTCGCGCTGCTGATGAGCAGCATAGCTGCTGGAGGAGGTCTTGGAGGGACGGCACCGTCCCCTTTCTCAGCAGGTCTGCGCTGGAGCAGGGGTTCAGCTGCAACGACCGCTGCTGGGGTGCAGACGCCTTGTCCCCGTTTGGCAGCTCGCTGAGGAGCCTCACCAAAGCAGGTTCCCTCCTGTAACACCTGCCTGGCGCTGGGGCTCCACAGAAAAGCTGTGATGGTTCCTCAAAACTTTCCTTCCTTGCTTGTCTTGTGTCCTCTGCCTTTCTACGGCAGTCAGACATCCTCTACAAACACGTCCCATCCTTCGGAGGGGCAGGCCTCTAACAAAGCCAGAGTGCACAACACGGAGCGATGTGTCACTCTGCATAATAAAAAAGGTTTATGTAACATTATGCTTCAAGACAGTGCAACGTTTCACTGGGAACAGGCAGCCTTCATTAATGCTAGAAATAAAGCCAGATATTGATAAAGGTCTTTCCAAGAGCTACAATATCTGCGACAAAAATATTTTCAGTAGACAGTCAAGAAAGAATATGTGATTTGACAGGGAGAAAAGCTAGAGAGATGCTATTTTTGTCACTTGAAAAGCTGGTTGTAATTACAGTAATTAAGAAAAAAGCAGATTACCGGCTAGCCTCTTTTCATTTCTGTAATATTTTCATCATTGCTTGGCACTCTTTTTGAGTCAGTACAAATCTGAAAAGCCCTCAAGAGCTGTGGGTTTTAGGATTAGAAATGGAAAAGCTACTCTTGTACATCTTGAAGCCTGTGGTACGGGGAATTATCAAGAGTTCAGTATACTGCTTTGGTAAATGTATAACGTGGCTTACAGCTACTAGCATATTCTGCTCCTTCTGGAGCAAAAGGGAACATCTGAAGATGTCTGGCATATGAACTTGAGTTCAACGTAGCATAAAGCATGCTTTTTAATTAAATTTGTGCTCACATAACTCTGGTGGCTTCCCTGAGCATAAATATTTGATGCACATTGCAGGTCTGCTCTATTTTCTGCTGAATATCCGTAGAGCAATAGACCCCACAGACTGAGATGACAAATGCTTAGCAAATACTGGCAGCTTTATCTTACCTTCATTTATCTTTTTCATGCCTGAAGCTGAAGGGATACTCCATTCCCAGGTCCATACAGAATATTGTCCAATATAGGAAAAGCTCTAAGGTAGCCAGTGTTAGGAAATCCTGCACTTTGCTGTAGTAGCATAATGCAGCTTGAGTGAGCTAGAAGGACAGATTGACTGCTTTGATACTGCATTCATGTTCAATAATGAATAGAAAAGCTGGTGAAGATCATTACTACAATTAAATGGATCAGGCCAGGGATGGAACTTGGCCAACCTACTTGAAGCAGAATTTTTGTTTGAAATCATAATTGCTTTTCATACCATTATTTGTACTCTTTTCCTTATTACACACTTAACGCTTAACTGGTTTGATAATCTTAAAAACGTTAATAGGATCAACGATTTTGATTTTTTTATGTCATAAGTTGCACTACTGTTTAATTTGCTCCTTGTACTCTACGTCATGTCTCTGAAACTGAAGAAATAATTTATTTTTGTCAAGATGAACAGAACATAATAGAAAAGTAGCCCCACTGGGTTAAGCTAAAGATCTGGTTAGGCCCGTAACTTTTTCTCAAGCTGTCCAATAACAGATGCTTAAATGAAAAGTCTAAGAAACATGATCCTTCCCCTTTTATAACCTCTCTGCTCCTGGAAACCAGCAATTAGTATGTCCTGAACATACTAATAGTACAGAACGGTAGTGTTAATAGCTGCCATTAGATCCATTGCCTGCAAATGTATCTAATTTGTCTTTAACTAATTTATTTTGTATATAATATCCCGTAATGATGACCATCAGAATTTAATTATGCAGTGTATGAAAAGGTACTATCTATTGTCTGCTTTAAAGCTGAAACCCGGAAATTTCACTGGTGCTCCCTAATTCTGTGTGCCAAGGAACGGTAAACAGTGGTTCCATATTCACTGTTTTTGTATCTGTCATGAATTAGTAAACTTATCTCACAAGCCACGGACTGGAGGAGCCCAGTGAAATGAAGATGAGGATACCTTGTAGAGGAGGCAACACATCTAAATTTGCTTTGAAAAAGAAGAACTCTGGGGCTTTTGAAAAGATTAGCCTTTAGCTATGCCTGCTAATAGGTTTGTCAACTATTTGCTGAGCACTTCTAAACACCTTTTCACTGAGACACAAGAAGCTGGTCAGCTAGAAACATGTTATGCCATCTGCAGTACTGTCTTTGTATCTTATCTCTGGATATGGGTTTATAAATGAGGTATAAACAGAGAAAAAATTCATAAGCATTTTAAAACCTGTAGAATAGCTAGATAGATTGTATGTTCAAACCACAGAGACAAGTTAGCTGAAAAAAATTTGCCATTACTTCATGTAAAATATTTGCTGTGGCTTATTAGTTTTAAACGCTGTTTCTGTAAGGGAAAAAAAGATTCGAGATCAGCAGGACGATTCACATAAAATCACTTCAGGGCATACCTTCTACTGGTACAAAAAAGCATTTCCTGTATTCGGTTAACTTACATGTTATTTTCCATGCACATCTCCTGGCCAAATCTAAGAGCAACATATGAAATGCTATTCTCCCATTTTCATCTTTCAAGTTAATTAAGATAATAGCAAATGTCTGTCTTGCCCACACAGTCATGAATGTATGAGCACAAAGGTGCAACAGACACACATAAGCCCATTCCTATCTGAATTTCAGCTTAATTTCCAAACTGAATAGTTTTTCTGGGCTTACTGCAGCCCTGGATATGTTTATCTGGATACAAATTGTCTCAGCTATAAAAAACATTTATTATCAAGCAGCTCATACCACTTATTTTTAAACATTGAAAGAAGAAATAAAAATGCTGATCGCTGAAACACAAATACATATACATGCCCACAAACATCTTGTTTTCAATGTTAATGTGTAATTTAGCAGTGAACAGTTTCCCTTTATGCTCTTTCAAACAGAAGCCTACATTATCTTTTCAAAACTGGCTTTTAAATTTGGGATTTTTTTTTAGTAGAGGAAAGCATATTTCAGCACATACTAACAATAGATAGTACGTTTCCAAAGGGGTACAACAGTTTTGGTCTGTAATGTTGCAATTTCCTAAATACTGAAACAAATAATGATATGAGTGGCTGGAAGATTAATGTTACACTGATGACAAAAATGGAAGAACAAAAGGGGGAACCAAGGGGTAATTAAATTTTTGACAGACTCACTTGAATAAGGACCATTAATTATATTAATGAATTATTTCTCTGAGACTTTGATTATACACAGGAAATAGCCATTTAAGAAGGAATTTGATTGACATCATACAGCTTATTAATCCCCCCCCCAATGACAAAATTACTTTACAGAACTGCAGACAGTAGTCTTTTCAAATCAAAAAAATACAGCTTTGACTCCTGAAGAAATACAATGGGATAAAAATGTCCTTTCACAGTGCTGTTCATTACATATTTTATATCACGTTATTTGCGTATGCAAATACTGCACACAGGCTGCACGCTGATCCCAGCTACCTTAGCATAAGTTTGGAAAAGTTGTTTCAGTCAGTGAAACATTCTGCATTTTTACTGAGCTCAGGAAGTGCTCTCCAGTAAAAAGGGACTATTCGCAAGTCTGAAAAACTATTTTGCTGGCACAAAGAGGTTTGGGATGCATTATGCTAGGAACTGCACGTACGCACTGCAAGAGGAACTTCTCGCCCTGCTAATCTGTTACAGTCTGGAGAGAAAAGACAGCATAAGTTGGGCTAAAGGATTATGGTATTATTCCCATTACAGAGGGACAATGGAGCAAAAAGAGAGGAGAATTTCGGACCAGGCAGAGGACCACAGGTCAGGAAGGGACCTGCTGAGCCACTGAGCGACCTGCAACTGCGTCCTCACATCACCTGTTTTTGGTCCCAGTCTGGGCTCTGTGAAGCCAAACAGGACTTTCTGTTGCTGAAGCTCTGCTTCTAGAGGTGCTTGCTGAAATTGGCTCTTTTAAATCTCTTGCAAGTCAGTTGGATTATTTTCAAAAAATAAATCCCTGCCCACGTAATGTCAAGTACTAACTTCTTCTACAAATGCAAACTACACTTCAGCAGAAAAATATACCTCAGCCTCCAGGATTATGGGCATTTTTTACGCCGTAACTCTTGCTGGCCAGCTGGAGATGGCAATGCACAGGATATTAGACGCAAGACTAGCTAAAACTGTTGAGTGTCAGAGACCATAAAGCAGTGCTGCAGACCAGTAAGACCAGTAGTGTGTTCTGTGCAGCTACCCTTGGCGGAGGGGTACTTGCATGTTTTGTGTTGGCTGGCCTGCTGCATCTGCTGTGAACCACACCTGTGTTCAATGTCTGTCACAACTTCCAGAGCAGAAAATCTGACCCCTAATTTTTACGCCCAGGACTCTCTAACTTTAATTTTTTTCATCTGAGATTGAGCAACTTTTGAAGCCAGGGAATGTACATTTCTCGCCCTATTTCATTAAACAAATATCCATATGCATTGATTTTTAAAGTTGTTTCTTCTCTATTCAAGACTTAATGAAAATGACCACTATCACAGAATGCTCTTCATTTTCTTAGTGTCTTCCAATTAGGATGCACTGTCAATGAGTATTATTATAAAAAGAATATTTAATTATTCAGGAGATAATATACAATACTCCTTTCTACAGTTTACTGAACTCCAGGCCTTGGTTGCAACAATCTAAACGCTCCTTATCTTGCTAAAATTTACTCTGCTCTAAAACATATTTGAGAATTACACTTTAAACTTCAGGAATAGAGAAAGCCTGGTAACTTGAAAAGGTTTCATCATTTACATACCCCTTTTGCATCGATTACACCAGGTTTCGCATTGAATTTCACCGTCTTCAAACGTGCACGCTCCTTTCTTTCGACTCTGGGGAAAAGAAAATGCAAATAAAGAATCACACTGACTACAGCTGTGTTTTATATGATATATTTGATATCTAATCTTCCAAGACGTTGCATACAGTGAGCACTCCAACAAATTTTACAAATTGGAAAGAGAGAGATGTCAAGCCATTCACTCAGCCAAGCAAGGTTTGCTGGCAGATATGGGACAAGACTGCAGGAGTCTGTCTGACAGTAGCAGAACTGCACTCCCTCTCAACACAAACAGAGATACGGTAAAAGCACATTAAGCTACGATTCACCTTCTCTGACTTAAGCTGCCCAAAAATGAGCAACATTTCAGGTTCTTCTGCTGTCAGTAGAACAAAATATAAACATAGAGAGAATAAACTATTCACCTCGCTTCTTTTAGGTGTACATTGCAGGGTGGAATAAATTTTCCTCTGTGCAGTACCTTTCTTTTCATCCTATAGAGGGAGCTTTGACCACTTCCTTATATAAATGACTGACTTTTAGGCAGTCCAAATTAAGTAACATGAACCCCACCCTTTCTAAATCTGTTTTCAAAAAAATCGTGGCTTCAGACCCACGAGCATCTTAGGGCAAAAAGTCAGCACGTGCTGTCTAAGCTCATGGCAAATACAAAGTAAAAAGGAGGAAGTTTCTCCTAACGGATGGAGAAGATGTTTACATTGTTGATGGAAAAGGACAGTCTTGCTCGTTTCCTCGCCTCCCATTTTCCCACTGCTCCCAGCAGTGCCCCTTCATTGCTTCCCTCACCATAGCAGAAAACGAACACAGTAAAAAAAGTGAATAGCTTTTCATGATTTTAATGAGCTGGATCAGCATCACAGAACCATAGGAAGAGGGGAAGGGAAAAGGGAGCAAGTCCTTCCTTTGTCTAATGGTTCTGAGCCACCTGGAAACCTTTGCCTCGAACCCCCCAGAAAAAGAGAATTTCTTACTGGACTGCGCAGGAAAGAGGTACCTAGAAGCCTCCCAGTAGCCTATGTGTTATTTGGCAATCTTTGTCAAATAAGTTAGATGTTTTAAGTTTTTCCAAATGCCCTCAAGCTTGTCAAAGAGCATTAACCCTACACATGCAGGTGGTCTGCCCAGAGCTTTGTAGAGCCCTTTTCACATGATCACTGTTTAAATCTTAGGCTCTGCAATACTGAGTTTACTATGTTGAAGCTCTCTTATGGGTTTGCTCTCAGCTTACTTTGGAGAATGAATGCTAATTCATTAAAGTAATTTTGAAAATGGAAAGTTTTCCTAAATTTACATAAGGATAGACTTACTGTTTTAAAAATCTTACTTAGAAATGAATTTTAAATCTCTCCTCTGAAAGATGGTGGTGTGCTATCTGTTAGAACATGATTTTAAAGTGCAGAAAAATTTCCTTGAGGTTTTCATTACTTAAAAGACTACACTGCATCACTGAAAAGTGTGTTTCTGAGGAGACATACAAATATTCAGGGGTAGAAGAGCTATTTTCAGCCACTCACACACATCATGAATTGGATCGATGTTCTTTTTTAAATCCTGTCTTCCACAAACCTGCACACGCAAACAGAATGAAAAGAATTTGCTCTTCTGCTCATTTCACTGAAAATCTCATTGCTAATAGGAGTGGGTGCATTATGAAGACAAATATAGCTTGATCTACATTACCAAACAGTGTGGCCAAATGGGATAGGACCTGGCAGCCGCAGATTACGCATTTCTTTCTGGAGGGGGGAGGTTCTTTGGGTTAGTTCCAGCACAGTCACACGAACTGAGCATCCATTAGCAGGAGGATGCATTAGGTGAGTTCTTGGAGCACAGCTTCAAGTTCAGTTAAATCCAAATGAATCTAGTGTGCATTTGCCAAGACTGACCAGCGGGCTGAAATGATGTGCAGTAAGGGAGTACAAAAAGGAGATTTGCCTTGAAAGCTCACTAACACTCTTGATCTAAGCTAAAAAAACAATGCAGACAGCCCATGAACCCATACCATAGGACCTGATCCCCTGAACTAGTGTGGTATGACCCATAACTTGGCTCAGTCTGTTCAGTTCTGGCATCCATATATCTTAAAAAAAGTTGTAATGCTGCAATGAAGAGTCTCAAAAGTGACTGAATCCTGATTTCCATGGCTTCAATAAATGCAATTTGAGAAAAGACTTGTTATATATACAGTACCTTCAGAGTCAGAAAATACTGAGATCTAAAATTTCCCTTTAGCAGAGAAAAACTTAGTAAAATCATTGGCAACAAACCAATGCCAGGTAAATTCTTATAAAAAGGCCCAGGTATACTTTTTTAATCGTTAACATGTTTAGCCACCAACTAGAAGAGGAACATGCGTCTTGACACCTTCATATCTTAAAATCAAGACTTAGTGCCTTTCAGAAAGATCTATCAAACACAAGTTATTGTCCTCAGTGCAGAGGAAAAAGAGAGAAATATGAAGAATTTTTATAAAGGAGATCAGACTAGGTAATTCAGTGTTCCTTTTATGCCCATAGGTATCATATACCAATATCCTGAATTTCCATCATTCAGTGAAGGAACATTATTTTTAAAACATTTGAATGAAACTTAAAATCTATTAGCATACTGAAAAGTACGTTGTAGAAATTTTCCCTGTGGGAAAACTATATACTTGCAATTATATTTGTAAAGGTCATTGTTATTACAGGACCTCTGCACTATAGATTTAATCTTTTAATGAAGCATGCTTAAATACGATTGCCAGGAATTCAAGAACAGTCTAAGTAAGGGCGACCTCTCCCTGAAACAGAAACAAACCCAAAGAAATTCAGGTGCAGAGAGAGAAATGTAAAGAAAGGAAGAAGCTGTTCATTTCCTTACTCACCTTGACTAAAATAGTCATTACCGTAAAAAATGACATTTACTGCCTTTGCAAAACCATCTACAGAATTTACTGGCCTAAGCACAAAAATCCGATCATCTACTTACAATTGAAATAGTAATTCTATTTGTCTAAGATTATGAATTGCTCTAGGAAATCAAAGTTGAACCTTGCAAAGCTGGTTTATAAGAGCGCAATATTGTATTTTTATTAGACAATAAATAGCTGGGAAGTAAGTGAGGTTTTCGATATCCTCCAAATCAGTCAAAATATAACCTTTTCTCCATCTTCTGCTGTTTCTTACAAATGACATTAGAATATATTCCTGCAAATCTTAATTTTCTAAGTCTGAACAGTGAGATTACCTAGTTTCTGATAATTGTTTTTTAAAATAAAACCCCAGTCTTTTCATAGAGTGATAATTAACACCACATGTTTCCTTCTGTCTGAGTGGGCTTACATATTTCCTACTGAAACAGAGTCAATACTGGTTACTATAGTTACTGTTTAAATTTAGAATAAATGCATTTCTCTTTTAATGTAGAAAAAATCACAGGGAAACAGCTCAAAAGCAGCCTCCAGATTAAATCTATGTTATTAAAAACATACGAACAGTCTTAAACTAAACTAGCAGATGAATCCCCATGATAATTCAGTAAGAAATGAAGACCTGAGGCTGTGTAATCGGCTAAATAGGAAGGATGCCTTCTGAGAAAATAATTACCTCAAATGAACACAGCTTTCTACTTATTAATCTTTGTTAACATTTGAACTCATTCCAGTCTTGTCTAACTTCCTAAAACATCTACTTTAACTTCATTTCTTATTCACTGCATAGAGAAAGTTGGAAATGAACCTGAAAGCGTGGATCTTATGAAATTCCTCATAATTGCATTAGCAGACAGGAAGGACTCGTTGCTATCTACAGGCACTGCAGACATGAGGAGGTGCAGAAACATTCTTTATTGCTTTGTATAGTATATAAATGATGTTATTAAGTACCGTTAAGCCTTCAGGCACACAGAACAACAGTGTTCATACATGCTTAAAATGCTTGCTGAATATTACAAACATTTCATAATCTACGACTGTGTTTAGGACAGCACAGTGTTGCCTCCCATTAAAATTTTCCTGACACCTTCCACAACAGAACTTCTTTCTGGTTACTTATAATTCAGCTGAACTGTAAACTTCTAAGCTCAAATTTCGTGTGTCTCAGGGTGATTACATTAGTGTTGCTGCCCAAAGTGTCAATAAGATGGGTTTGCTGGTGTAGAAAGGCTAGGAAAAACTACATGGTTTTCCCCAGGTTATAACAAATTCTTGAAGCACTTTGGCTGAGATGCTCTGCTGCCTTCAGGTACTGGGCCAGGGGCTTGAAATGTGACAGGGGGTTACAGTACTTTAGGGGAGTACCGGATTATACCCAGTAAAATGTTTCTTCTTCCTCAAAAAGGAGTATATTTGGCTTTGTGCTTTTGAGCTTTTTGGCTCCACGCCGTGGTTTAGCTCACTTGGCTACATACACTTGTATGTGTTCATCTCTGAGCAGACGCAGCACGGTTGTTTCCTCTGTATCTGGACTCCAGGTGTGGCTTGGAAACCTCTCCCCAGTGCCTTCTGTGGTTTCTCAGAGGAATAAGCTTTCTGAAATGAATACAGTGGAGTGAGGAATATAATGAAGGTAGGGACTGTGTGAGGCAATACCGAGGGAGTGGCTGAGATACAGCTTTGGGAGAAGACCCTTGAGGAGCAGCAACAGGAGCATGACATTGCAGGACAGTTAGGAACTGTAATAGAGGAAATTATATTCTAAAAAATCATATAAAGAAATATTCAGCTTACAAATCAAGACCTCAAAAGTCAGAAAAAAAGGAGAGATGAAGACAAGAATCAGCATCCTTAGCTGAACATCCACAGTTACCTCAAAAATTAATGGAAGAAAAAATTGTTCAGTGTCACAGCTAGAATGGTGTTAAGTGAGACACTTCACAGTGACACTGTGTAGATAAATTCATTAAAGATTTCACAGATAAGTACAAAAGATATGGCAGGAAAAGCTCCAATTAGAGTACCAAAAAAAGAACACGAAGAGATTAAGCATTTGTTTTCTCAATGTACTTTGAAGGATGTGCACTAAAAAGTTTTAAACCATGATGATACGAAGA